TTTTCTCCTGCGGAGAACACAGAAAACCGTGGCACAGCCTAGAAATATGGCAACGACTCCTCCGATGATTCCTCCGGCAAATGCTCCGACATTTGCCTTCTTAATTCCAGAGGTCTCACCGGTAGCATCGGGATTTGCGACTTCAGGGAGACTGAGTCCTGCAACCAATGTATAACAATCGGATAGTTGCCTCTGTAGCAAGGTGGGAGAATCAGGCCAATTTCCATAGAAATTATCCGTAGCAGTGACATTGTCAATAACAGCGTTGTACTAGTAAAAGAAATGTCAGGCGATTGACCTTTTCAAGGAGACCACACAGACCTGGGTTGAAATGAAGGCTTCAAGAAACAAACGAACGTCTTCAAAGGGAAGCCGTCGATATGCCGAAGCCAAATTACTCAGAAATGAACCAGGACTCTCTGCGGGATATCCGGTGTCTATATCTCCATATCAACTATCTCAATACGATACCGCCAGAAATGGTGCTCACTTGGAAACTTTTCAAACTTCCAGTTACTCGCAATACTGAAGATTGCTTCGCGTGTTCTACATTGATTCGGTGAGTGAGGTGGAAGCTGCAGATTGAGGCTTCTACCTTTGTCCATCGAAATTACCAACCGCTTGCGAATATATGGAAAGGCCTTCAAGATAGAGTGCCCGCACACTTGTGTGGAACAATCCGTTATCGGTAGCTCTGCAGCCCGGTACCCAGTTCTGGTCGTACATGCCATCTCCGGTTTGGCGAAAGAACTGTAAGGAGCGCTCGGTCAGGGTTGATCGAACGGGAGTAAATGACTGTAAATAATCTAGCGCATTCCATCTGCCTTTCAATTTGAACATGATGGGATTGAAAAGAATGTAGTATGCCAATACCTTAGCCATAGCCTAGACAAGCTATTGGTATAGTCACGGCACAGAATATTGGAGATACTTACGCATTTGTATATGCCTTGAAGGACGGTGTATCTGGGTGTTGTGTGTCCTGAGTGTGGTGATATGAATGTACCTTGAACAACAGAGAATCATGAGTGGCTCACCTGATAGCCGTCTAATAGGGCATTGCCAATAGATACATTCAAACCAGTGGCATTAAGACACAAAGGAGAAAGGAGATTAGTAGTATTATGGTTGGGAATTTGCTGTGCTCCGATCACATTTGTGTGGGTGAGAGTAAATATGCCATATGACTGATGCGCATGGAGCGCAGATATTCCATACAAGCTAGTTCGTAAGGGTCAGCGCTTTTGTTGATAGCGGGTCCAAGGGGGTAACGTACAGGAAATAGTCAACCTATTATGAAATACATGACGATATTGAAGTTGATTTATTGAACAGTATTTTCCTCGACTCACATTTTTGAAAGGTTCTTTGAAACGGCGCCTAGGGGAAAATTATGATCAGGATTTGTATTGCCGGTGATAACTGCGACGAGCGCCTACGGAGCACTGGACACGTTGTCAAGTCCATCACTACGAAGTCGAAAATATTCCGTGGCCTTATCCTTGTATTGGGTACGATTTGACAATTCGTCGAATAGCGAAAGATGAGTGAATAATTGTGCAGTCATTGCCAGGGTGTCATTAGTTCCTAGTCTCACATTAACATTTCGCTGAACAAACATATTCAAGCACGTACCGGAGAGCAGTAACTCCGAGTCCAAGGTTGCTACGACTGCGTCTAGTGCATTTGCAGCAACATCTATTCTTTGTTGCTTGGTTATCGTAATCTTAGGTTTCTACCTGCTGTTATTTACAGTGGATAAAGTTAATCGAATAGAAGACTTACACGCCACGACGGGTCGGGGGAAAGCTGCGCAGTGACCAGAAGTCGAGTAATGCCAAGCCCCAGTAGCAAAGATGAAATGTAGACCGTGAACATGGGAAGTTGGAGGCCCGTTGTCAATGTGGTCATGCCTCTTTAAAGGATGGATCTCTGATTCGTATCATCCTCGGATACATTGACCGATAGATAGATATGTACACAGCTTTGTTACTTCCGAATTGGGATGGTACAAAACAGCTGGGCTTCGTAGAAATCTTGCGTCATGTGAGGTCTGGTATCCACTTGTCGTGCTCGCAAACCCGGCGAAATATTTAGCTGTTTCAATGAGTTATATGTGAGCACGTACATGTAGCAAACCAATAGAATGTAACAATGACTTGCTGATAGTCGTCCCAGAAAGTTCAGGATTTAACCGACGGATCAAAGAGGCATGACGCATTTTTCTGGCAGGCACTGTACTTGGCGGTTTCATTCATTGCATATAACACCACCTCCCGCGGGTAATTGTGTACGCAAAAACTTATTCTTGGGAATCAGGAGAACGCCCAAACTGGTAGTATTTCGATATACGGGTTCCTCACGCCAACCAGAGCAAATATAGGGAAACGGTTACCAATCCGATATGTCTTCAAAACGTTGCCAATAAGGGAAGGTATCTTACCACGTAGGTTGATTGCTTCTTTCGAAGCTTAAGATTGGGAGCTGGTTCGATCCATCTTACCCTGCTGGAGGATCCATCACCACAACAGTGAAGTCTCTAAATGTCACGTCCTCGTCGGCCAGGGCCCCACATTTACGCAACAATAAAATAGTAGATGTAGCTCCAATACATGAGCAGTATGTTGTATCATTCCAATTCTAAGTGACGTCGTAGCGCGCCACAGTGATGTGTACATATTTTGTAATAGTTCCCTAAACGAGACGTCTAGGCATGGTAGCTTAGAGTCTTAGTTCACCCGAAACCTGGGCACAACGAGGTTTTATAACAACGTAGGTACAAGTACTGGGCAAAATAAGACTATCCGAGTCGAAGGTAAAATAGCGGACTTGTTTATACTGATGGTCCGGGTAAACGGGTAATAGGAATACGGAGATAGTAAGGAACGCACGAATGTTGACAAGTTGGCATATAGGCGTTACATATTTGGAACTGTCGCAGTTGTCAGTTGCCAAGTCCATGAGATTCTATGTCAGCCATACTGATGAGATATTTCCCTAGACTAAACCCTTGATGTAACGAGGCGTCTCGCTGTTCGCCAAGAAATCACCACAAGCTCCTTCATCATATCACAGAAGCACGCCACTTGTAACGATTGGTTTGTTGTATTCGCTGCTCTTGTCTGTATGTAAGGCACAGACTCAGAACTAGCACCCTCTTGATCATGTCTTCAGAGTTCCTGGAGTCTGCATCTCCTTGGTATTCTCCCAATACCGAACAGACTCCGCTTAGACTGTACGTGGTATTTGCTGTAAACACTCATTGACTCGGTCTGATTTCTGAAATGAGCTTTAGATACAATGCTTGAGAGTGTTACCGCACAGCTCATCCCACCTATTCACGCCGACAAAATTAGCGAAGCTGATTAAACGGTTTACAGACGTATCCAGGAGATCGCCTAGTAGTGACTGTATTGTCTCGACTATCTATCTTAGTGCCGCGGGCTCTGTAGGTGAACCGAGTGTATATTTAGATGGTATGTCCTCCATCGGGAAAATCCACAAGTTCTTATGACCCACCGCAACCCGTCATGTCGTCCCATGCCTTGATATGGACGCCCTTAGCATGAGCTTGCATATATCCCGCCATCGGTAACCGCAGTGCGATCACCTGTAACGGTGCCCTAGAGCCTTTTTACCCATTACCTAGTCAGTCCAAACCGGATCAGAGAGTGATGGTCTGTCCTGGATTGACCAAATGCCTCGCCCACTCCCCTGTCACAACCTGCATCATTTTGCATCAGATACACCTGTTTCTCTCGAGGATGCCAAATCTGTATTTCTCGGCAAATTCGGCCGATCGGACTTACGGGCGTTCCTTACGGTCGCAGTGAGTAGGTCACTTCGAGTCCTACATATCTCTGTACTACGTATGCAATCTAACCCTAAAGGGTGTTCTGGGAGGTGAAGCTGAAGGATAAAAAAGAGTGGACGGAAACGCGACATGTATATTTGGATCAGCCAGATTATTATATCAATCCTGGTGTTGAGACTGAGAGTAGTGTGTTCGGGGGTTGAAGAAAGATTCAAGAAGCTGGTGAGTGATTCGTGCTTGGGCATCGTGGATGATAGAGCTTCTCCCTAGCCTTCTGACATCATCTCCAGAACCTCCGGTATAGCTTCTTTATACAACCAAAGCAAATTTCCTGCACTCCAAAGCAACACTCAGAACTCCATCGCTTCATACCCAGCTTGAAGATGCGGTTTCCATGAATACCGAGAGGATGGGGTAAACAGCGAGGTTCGTCCCTATTCGCTGGAGAGGACAGCTTTCGGTTCTTTCTGGTTGTGTTCGTTACGTCGCGATGAGGAATAGTGAAACGTAGGGTGAGGGGTATGGATGTGGTTGAAGGCCAAAGTGATAAGGCGGTGTGAAAGGATGCGGTACCGGCGAACTGGGTAGAGGAAACGTCATGTCCAAACGTACAGATCTACGTCACCGCGATGCAGCGAAAAGGTGAGACGAGGGCTTGGGATAGTCTTCTGTATGTCTTCGAGTGACCGAACTTGAGGGGGAGAGATGAGGACTTTTGGGTTCTGAAGACGATAATAGCAAAAAGGTGGTGTCAGCAACAGCAACGACTACGAGGATCAGGGATAAAGACGAACCAAAACTACCGAACCAAATCGAACCACTCTACCCCAAGGCATTCCCTTATTGACCTCCTCAGCCAATCCTGATGACGGAGACAAACCCATAGCGACGACAGTGAACCAGGAAGAATCATGGTCGATATCCGACGAGCTCCCAAGACGACGTGTCTATCCCCTTATGATTTGGCCGACACCAGTCACATAAACCTTTTTCATAGAGATATCAGACAATTGAGATGGAAGAAACAGAAAAAGATACATACCGTGGCGTTGTCATTGTGGTACAGGAAAAAGTGTTGATCAAGCCACGCGTCATCAAAGTTCAAACCTGTTTACATCAGCCATAAGCAACGAGAGGTACAGGTCGCACCCCAGCCGAAAAAACATCAACGTAGTGCTATCGATGATACACCGTTCGGGAATCGAACCCGAGCCGCTTGCTTGAGGACATGAAGGACTGCGAGCATGGAAGGCAAGCATGATAACCACTTCACCAACGGTGTCTATAATGAACGGATTGGATCGAGAATCCGATGGAGCGGGGCTAAGTTCTCTGTTCTGATCCATTTCAGCTCATCTAGCTCCCTGGTATCTTTCTTCACCTAAACGCATGCCAGAATCCCGAAATCCACCCAGTCCCGCTGCCGAAGAATGCCACTTTCCGACGCAGCACTTGCTAGGATTGCATTGGTACACTCCCCGCTAGAAGACAAAGAGGTAGGTTCCTCCGAGATCTATCACCAGTGGGAAATGAATGCAGAATGCAGAGGATGGCTGGGGTACAGTGAAACATGGGTGATGTTGGAGAGAGGTGGCGGCGAGCGAGTGGTAAACGGCATTGTTGATAAAGCACGCTTCAAAAAAAGGGAGGCGAGACGGTGTAGAGTGTTCATGAGATGAATATGGGTTGATGGAAAGGGAGGGGCGTAGGGCGTTGCAGAAGAAGAAGGTGTTGCATGGTAGAGACTTTGTCCAACTGCCCATAGCGTAGCTCCAACCACAGGCGGTCCCCCAGCGAAACCCAACGTCCGGCTCTCCAGGACACACCTCTTGCGTGATCTACCTCTCCCAACCCGCGCAAGGACGAAGAACGAGCCCTGCCACTGACACCTCATCTCGGAAGGTGGTTACGTAACTGGTTCGAGGACAAGATGGGAGTGGTGTATGTTCGGGGAAGATGAGAGACGAAGGTCGGAAAGAAGGTGCCGCATTGGGCACGGGCAGTTAGAAAAGTGATACGGCATTGATCATGGAGAGTTTCGTGAACTTGGGCATGGATAAATAAGGGAGAGATTGGGGTTATTCTGCGCCTGTCTGGGTTCGAGGATGATGTATCGATGATGCACTACCCGTGCGGATAGCTTCTGCGCTAGTTCCTGCCTCTCTAACCTCTTCGGCAATACCGAAAGCAAAACTGAAACCACCCGCGCACACAGTAAAGCAAGAACAACAATGCTGAGTCGTTCCTTCAATGATCCCCAATACATCCACCATAAAGGGCCATAACTTCCTCTCGACGAGCCAGGAGTGGGGGAAAGTGATTCTTGGGAAAGGTAGGAGTGAGCCAAAGGGTTCGTAGCTGGGAAGCATTCCACGGATTGAGGCGGGAGAGGCGGGACATCGCGAAGAGACAGGTCGGTGGTTGGTGATTTGAAAATCAGGAAGCAGACAGATTCATGGAAGGAGCACGAGTAGGATCATGCAAGGAAATTTGCGCCTTCTACGCGTGTCAAGGTGGAGTATTTCGGGAGGCAACGGGGGATAATCGAATCATGCTGGAGAGCGTGTCAGTCTGGAAAACGCGAATAGCTGAAGACAACGAACCATCCTAGCCCATCCCTAATCACCCCCTTGTTATCATCGTATCCTCCGCAAATAACCCTCTGGCGTTTAGTCGTACGTAGTGGGAACGTCTCAGTGCATAAAAAATTGTGATGCAACTGTGATGTCCGGAACTTCACGATAAGTCGAGAAGATTGAATACCATAACGCCAAAGGGCACTTGATAATATTATATCAGACTATTGAATGGAAAGCAACTCTGCAGAAACACTCACCACCGTCGTCGTTGTTCATCGTCAATTTTCAAGGAGCAGGTTCACGAGACCACGTGCCTTCAAATCATTCAGTGTCCGACCCTTCGGAGTTTAAATTCTTCAGGTCGAAGTTGAAGTCCTCCGACTCAACCCGCGCAAAGCCATCACCATGAAATCCTCTAATTCTGCCAAAGAATACAATCTCATTACAAAATTACGCGAAAAAGTCGAAACCGAGGACTCGAAATGTTGGCGGGGTCAAATCCAGTCGGCGGATTCGCTGGTCGTACCCATCGAAAACTTGACTAAAACTATCCAAGAGCTCACGCAAGCAGTTTCACAATCGACGAAGATTACCAAGGAATTGAAGGAGTCTGTCGAAAAAATTACACACCCACGATGGTGTCGATCGGATTGTCGCAGCTGTTGAAGCGTTGAAGGAGACCTTTGGGGTTCGGGAACGACAGCTCAAAAATTGGACGGAGGAGTCGATATCAGAGGCGAAGGATGGCGAAGAAGATCTAAGTGAAGGAGAAAGCAAAATTCCGACAAGGAAATGAAAACGGAAAACAAAAATATGGAACACGCGGAAGACCGTCACGAGCAGATCGAAGATACGTCGGACGAAGACACTGATTCATACATATCTCTAAGCACACTGCTAGGATACTTTGACGATCAAAGCGGCGAAGATACGGACGACGAAAGCATTCATTCAGATGTATCTGAATCAGCCCATGCGAACTCTGCGCAGAATATGGTTCATACACTCAAGAGTTTCATGAAAGAACGATCCGAAGCCCATGAGAGAATCGCCGAAGGTGTGAGAGAGTTTATGGGGGAAGTGGCAGATATTCATGGGCGATGGTCTGAGGCGATGGAGGAAATTACAGATTCATTGGGTTCAAAGCGGAAAAGAGCAGATGCATTGGGGAGAGCAGGCATGGACACCGAAGACGAAGATGCGGAAAAGGCATTAGGTCGTCAAAGAAGCTGAAGACGCATGGATAGCTCCAACTTGAAATTGCGCATTCGTCTCACAAAATTGCGCTTGTTCCCTCTCCAAATCAGTGGTTTACTTCTTGATACATTGCTTTTACATTGGTATATCTGAATACTCGTGAATGTGGTCGAAACCTTGATGTATTTTCCCGTACGAATTGTATGATCTTGACTGCGGGTCCATTTACAACTCGGAATATCCAACAACGCCGCCTCATAATGCATCTTCGTATGCCGGTGGAAGCCGTTCGACGATCTCCCTTGGCCTCCATCCACTATCCTGATCTCTTTGAACTCTTCGTACAGGTTGGAGAATGCCTAATAACGTTCAGTATGTTTCCTAGCCTGCCGATGATGGTTAGCGACGCACTTGATCCTGTGACGGTGTCCTGACTCTGGTATGAAGGCCCTTCCGAAGGAGAAGTCACAACTGTTTCCTCTGGAACATGGCCTGCTGCTTCTCCAGCATCACGGTTCTCTTTGCTGGGATCCTTGAAATGCCAATTTCTTGGCGCTGTCCGTATGGAAACACGCCGCTTGTCTTCTACTTGTAGGGTATATGGTGAAGCCTCGGGGACCGTTTGTTGTGATCGACGGCGACGGTAGCAGAAAAAGAAGCCTGCAAGAGCTGCAATGATTATGATCACGCCTCCAACCACACCACCTGCAATTCCGCCAACGGGTACTTTCTTATCAGGGGTCGGACTAATGCTCGCGGTATTTGAGGCGCTTGCTTGCTGACGTAGAGGTGCTCTCTGGCTCGGTTGGCGTAGAGTAATCGGGTAGCCCAATAGCTGCGACCAACACATGCGCTGAAGAAAGTTGCTTCTCCATGTCAAACGTCGGGGTACTTTTGTTGTCCCAATTACCATAGAACTTGTCAGGTAGAGGTGACATTGTCGAGAATCGCGTTGTACTTGAACTATGATGGGATCAATGAACTTGCTGTATCAGAGAAGCTCGTACCTGAGTTGAAATGAAAGCCTCTATATACAAACGCATGTCGCTGAAAGACGCGAGTCGCTGATATGCACCAAACATGTTGTAGATAAATTCGCCAGGACTTCCATTTGCTATAAACCATCGTCAGCTTCACGAATCAATCCCAACAATTTTGGATCTCACTTGAATCCCCATACTGAATCAGACCCCATGTTTTCACTGCTCCAGCTAGGCTTTCGCGGAGTCTAGAAAGGGCGTGAACAAGGATGAAAAAGGACTATAAGTTAACGTACAAGTTCTCATCGAAAGAGTTTTGTGTCGTTGAATAGATGGAACGTCCCTCAGTAAATAACGCCATGATATCGTTATGGGGTCCTCCTGCAAGTATGAGACCGCAATCCCCGGTCCAGTCGATGTCTTGTTGCCCTCTGTCCAGGAGGACATCGACTACCCGTGAAGCGTCCGCTGCTGATTGTGAGTACATCTGGTCGAAGGTCCTGCTGTATAAGAGTGCATATAGTCTGAGTTTTGTGAGAAACCATGCGACAAGAAAGGATTTGATTAGGGCAACGTACTTCAAAGCGAGTCTATATAGAGGTCATTGCCGCTTGCATCAAATCATAACATGGAACATGGAGAACTACTGACGCGTTTGTATAGGCTCTGATGGATGGAGAATCGGGGTGTTGTACAACCTATAAAAACGACCTCAGTGCACTACGCGTGAATCCGATATCGGTGCGCATACATCGAACCCATCGAGTATCGCTCCATCCACTGGCGTATTCGACACGGTGGCATTTGCCAGGGCTACAGAGTGAGATCAACTTCCTTTCATCGACCTTCAGGTTGCCAAAAGCTTGCCTGATATACACGCGTTGCTCAAGTCGAGTGAAGTCACGCCAGGTGCAAGGTTTCGGTAAGTCTGGTTATATCCCATGAACCAGGCAGGCTCCCCAATCGTCGAGAGGAGGTTGCCCCTGGCATAAGCTTGATCGGCTTGAATGGCGGCAATCCCGTACAACCTGCTTTCCTTTATCAGACACTCATTCAGTCATTCAGTTCAAGCGAATACGACACGTACAAGAAATAGTCCACCTGAGTATTGAGATTTTAGTACGACATCTTCGACATGGCAACCAATCAGGGCTTACATTCGACGGACGACTATAATCAAGTCAGATATTGATATGAAAATGCACCCGAGTAATGAACAGCTTACACAAGTTCTGTCACGTTGGAGAGACCATTAACGCCGCGAATAGTAAAGTAATCCATAACTTGGTCCATATATTTCGTCTGGTTAGATTGAACATCGAAAGCCGAAAGCAGCGCAAAGAATCTGGCAGTATCTCCGAGAGTATCGTTTCCTAAAATCTTTTGTAAGTATGAATGTTCACTGCGGATAAAAGACAGTATACCGGGAAAGCGCTTTTCCGACGTGAGGATTTTTGCGAGTTCATCCAAAGCTCTGGCTGCAATCTCAACCCTTTCTTGCCTAGATATAGTTATATTGGATTTCT